AATTTGAGTCGTAGAATCGAAATATGGAAAAAAATTGGTAAGTTATTTCAGAAAAAGTCCGATTTTGTGTCAAAATACCTATATTAAAACAATGCTATATATAAATCTAATACATATCCTAAGTCGAGCTTTCGAGACATGAAAAACGCAAGTTGAATTTCGTCAATCGGGCCAGTAGAACGGGAGATATAAAACCGTCCTTTTTTTCTCGTGGAGTGTACATAATGTAAAGTTCTATGGATTTTGAATTGTCATTTTTGCACAATATTCCCTATATCTAGAGGAAGAGATACATACACACATTTGGTACTACCGATTGCAATAACAAAAGGTGGTGCCCAATATGTTATAGCAGTTCCATATACAACATTTCACAGTGCTATGGCTAATCGTTTTTGGGTTATGCGAGATACATACACACATACATATGTACAGACGGCACGGAAATATCCCTTTCGAATCCACTTTACAATCCGTTTTGGCAAAAAATAAAATAAAAGAGCCCTTTATCTTGTGGATACATACAGACGTCATGCTAAAGAATCGTCGAAATGGATTCAGGAACGATCAAAATGTATATTTCCGTTGAAATATGATAACAGAGATTTTATTCTTTGATTACAATACTTCTTTTACTTCCTACTAGGAAGGAAATGAACCTTTAAAAGAAGAAGGTTTAATAATAGTAATTTGTAATGGCTTTGATCGCCTCCCTATGAGGCTGTGCTTAGGACAATTCTGACGTGAATAGCACACATCTGGCCATTTCAACAGGAGTACGACTACGACATTCTACAACTATCTTCTATTCAGTTCAATAATCGACTTAAAATGGGCATTTAATACTTTCCCTTTCCAAAAATTGGCTGATTTTTTTGACTTGTGAATTCTTTGCCATTATCACTTCAGAGATTTTAAACTTGTTTGCACATCTGTTTTTCAGTATGTAACTTGTAATATGTTTTAAATCCTTGTAGATGTCCACAGTAAGTTTCCACAAGTTATCACCTAGGAGTGTTATGAAATGTCACGCATCACTCAAGAACATGACTTTCATTGGACCACATATGTCGGTGCATACAAGTACATAATGAATGCTTCACGAATTACGATTAACGTGTGTGCTTCTCTTGTAAAGGTAATATAGACTGTTTGCATTTTACACATTTCATAAAAGAATGCTTCGTTTTTACATATTTCAGTCTTTAGACTATGTAACAACATATCAAAACACAGTGCTTTTACAGTCTGTCTATCATAAGAAAACCTCTCGCCAGTTAGTCTAGAGTTGTCTGTTGCCGTAGAAACGAGCCTTGACCCATGTTCCGTAGGTGTGTCTTGAAGACGAATCATATCTCTTTTCCCCTTAGCCAACAGTCACCAAAAACAAAATAACAATAAAGCAACCCTTGGCTCTTCCCTATTTGAAATATACTAGCCCTGTTGCTATAACGACTGCCACCCACCAGACACTGTGGGAGCTATTCTTCTCGTACACATACAATAAACTGGCTATATTCAAGCGACCACATCTTTCTTGTAATAATTTAAATTCACTGTTTTAGGTATTTGCTTACAGTGTGCATTATTTCAAGTACGCTTTGGTTGATTTACAACATAAAATCCATTTTGCTTATTTGCTTAAAAGACTTACTTTGATCCTTAATCCATGCATAATTATTTTACAAATAAATACTGCAGTTCTACCCTACCTTAAAAAGAAGTAAAATTCCTGTTGGCTTGGGAATGCCTTATGCTGTTGAATTAACACTTGTATAAATTTCAACTCTCCTTTTACCTTCAGCATTTAAAAATTCATTCTTTACTGATTAACTGTCTTTTGATTTTAGCTATTGATGTGAATTTATGTTTGTCATTGCACACACACATGCAGCAATCCTGAATTAAGATACCACTTTTAAGTTCCTCTCTGAAGTTGGCTGGTAATGGTAGCTCAAACACAGGAAAGATCTGACTATGTGTAGCAAAAACACTGACAAATGAAACTTCTGAAATCCAGCAGAAAAGCCTAGTTCTCATGTTGTGCTGAGAATGCTGAGTAAATAGGTTCATTCAGTTATTTCATTAGAAATTTTGCTGCATTCAGATGTTTCATGTCCTTTTTTATCGCAGTTATAACACCTCAGTGCTTTAATTTCACATTCCTAGAACTTACTTTTGCATTGTTGTTATATTTAGCATACTGAACTTGGCTACTTTCCTCTGCTTTAAAATGGCATTTTCTAACCTTTTTAGTAATTTAACTCATGACATATCTTAATTTGAAAACTAATCAAGGGATTCTGTCCCAATTCTGAGATTTCTTAATTCCAGATTTCCACTGGCATTTAATTAACACTCATTACCCCACATTCTCGGTATTGCACAGATGTAAAAGGAGAGAGATTTGCAACAAAATGAAAATGAATTCAGTTACAGTAGTTACAAGTGAAAATTTATTCTAAAAATGATTAAAGAAGAAATATAACTAATATCAAGCTTGGTATTATACATAATGATATAACATTCTGCACACAAGAAAATAAGCCTGAAATAATCTCATCGGCTAAAAATTAAAATAGTAATTCTAGTATTACAAATCATATTTCAAATATAGTCAGAAAATATAAACTTAACTACAATGAATATTAGAACTGTCAATGCATTGATCATATCACATAACATTTTTAATATTCAACAAGATATAAAATAAGCTCACTAGCTTTTATCAAGTATGATGAGGATTAAACAAAGAATCCTTTTGTGTTAAAAAACTAACATTTCAGTTTACAACTCTCAGTTCAAAACAAAAGGATAAAACAAAATTAACACTGATTAAATTTAACTTCCAAAATTTTAATTTAGAAGTCAAACAACAAGCATTTTCATTTTCATTTGTGCTTTTGCAGCTGAGGATGATGGTTCGGTAAAACAATCGAAACGAGTCCTGTGAAAATTTGAAAATATAATGCTGATTTTGGTTGTTTGACTTCTAAATTAATATTTGTTCAGCATGTTATTGTATCTTAATTTTCCAAAATTTTATTAAATTAAAATTCTTTACAAAGGAACAGAAACTATTATTACAAAATTATTAAATTTTATATTTAATGAAGAAGAAAATATATTTGGATAACCTTCTACGTATTTAAGTCACATAAGTCTCTCTTTACTTATTTTTACGGAACGGGAGGAAAATGTAAATACCAAATTCTGCAAACACTATTCCTGAAATTATGTCTAATTTACACACAACTTCAAATATTATCCAAAATGATAAATAACTGATATAAAAATAAAACTGTAATTTCAACATCATGATAATACAAAACATCATTGCTATCAAATGTGTTTTCTTAACTTACAATAAATTTGTAAATAACAGTAACAATTAATGACATACATGTGCACATATAGTGGAAAAATAAGTCATTTGTATAAAATACAACCAGTCGAGCTGTAAGATGAAACAGAGAAAGATTATATCACAGTAAAGCACATTAAATACGAGTCACACAGAGAACATTTGTTTGGTTGAAAATGATAATATGCATAATTTTGGAAAATAAATTGTAAACATCTGAAAGTTATTTAATTGAGCAGTTTTGCAAAATATATCGAACATAGTAAAGGTACTGAAGGATTATTCTATTCAACTGTTTTTTCTAAAATGCATTTTGTCAATATTTTATTTCACAGTTTCATGACTATATGCATTGTGATAATGAGGTTTAAATTTTTTTTGTTACGATGCAAAATTAAATTAATAGTAAGATACAAATATATGGTCAAATTTTGGCTAAAAAATCAATATTTTAAAACTAAAGAAACTAATTTACATATATTAATTTTTTTTACTGCAGTGTATTACATACTTTATGGGACTTCCCTTCTATAGCAACCTTGTCAAGAAAGAAGATTGGGTGCACTTCCGCCTGATTGAAAAACAAGAAGTTACCAATTCGTCAGGGTACACGATTTACATTTCTTCAGCTACTCTTTTAAAAAATATGCTTTTCTGTTGCTGAAAATATGAGTGTTTTCTTTTAAAATATAGTAGTCTTTTATTGTTAAATATTGAAAATGCAAGTTTTCATTTTGTGAGAAACAAATAGTTACCAATTTATATATGCATACATTAAAGCAGTGAAAAAAAACTTTCTATTATAAAATTTTTTAATGCTACATATTCAATATGCTTACTATTTCAAACTTGCTCTCGAAGAAAAAAAGATGCTTTAAGCAGAAAGTAAAATATTTATGACAATTCATAAACTGGTGAGGAAAGAGGGGTATTAAGAAAACACTAGGATATGCTTTGTCTCAAACTTATTCTTGCACCAGAAAGCATGTTATAAACGAACTTCCAGATATGGTTACATACATTGCTAATAAAATTATTCATTACTAAATAAAATAACAAATTGATAATTAATTAATTATTTTTAATATATATAGATTAAGTAAACTGCATAAATGTTGATACTTGTGAGTTATCACAATACCTTAGTCCAAAAATTTTTCAGAATGTGTCAACACTTTGGCAATCATATACAGGGTGTTCAGAATAAATTTGACATATTTGTAATTGATTATATTTTTCCGTAGGTTGGAGGTATTGACACACATTACTCGTCATTTAAAAGTTTGGACCCTTCTTCATTCATATACAAGATGTCAGAAAGGATGGATGACTGGAACCCACCTGAACCATGGAAAAGAATAACTCGCATCAAGATGATTCGTGCCGGCCATCAAAATAAGGATATTATGACTGCTGCCCAATGCTCCCTGAACACAGTAAAAACAATCAGGCATGAACTAGAGACTTGCAATGGTGACTACGAGGATGGAGCAAGAAGAAAGATCCCCAGCAGACGATCTGATTGCGTTCGTACAGCAGAATTCCTCGCAAATCTGCAGGAACAGGTGTTGAAGAACCCTGGCATTGGAATTCCGGCTTTGTCACGTGAAATAAATGTTGCAGCCTCTACTATGAAGCTTTTTTTTTTTTTTTTTTTTGTCAATTCATTAAATTTAATAGATACAAAGTGGATTTTCTTTTTCCTTACGAAACTGTCAAATTTATGCCGAACACCTGCACATAACCATTCTTGGTAAAACAATTATGCTCACAACAATTTTGCAATCAAGACACTGCCATTTTGCCATCTGCCAAAACTAATAATTGTGTACATAAGAAGATGAACAATGGAAAAAATATATGAGGAATTGGTGAAAAATGTTTTATTTTTTAAATTTATCATATAATCCTTACTTAATAATTAAAATTATTTTAAACGACTATTTTTTTTTCTTCTGACATGTCAATAATATGTTCCCACTTACAATAAATATCAATAATTTGGAGAATCTTTTTTTTTTTTTTTTAAGTTGTGATAATGGCCAACTTGTACCAGAGAAGTAATTTTTACATTTTCATCTAAAAAGGATCACCAGATTCTGCCAAGATAGTTTCATTAACACAAAGTACAAGATACTGAAAGGATTAGCTATATGCACTGGTCATCCTCTAGTCAGTTTAATTTTTTTTTTTTTTAAAGTTCAGAAATATACTTTCTTATCCAAATTGTACCAATGTATTTTTTCTATTATAAAGGAAGGTTAACCTCTGAGATACAGTAATAGGTGATTTCTAATGGTTTTAAGACAAAGATTGCTAACTAGGAATATACAGAAGATCAAGAAAAATCTGAAAAAACGATTTTAAGTACACTTACAACAACATATGCCAAATTAGTTCCATATTTGAAGTAGCTAAGATATATATATAGTATATTAACCACTTTTTATTAATTTAACAAAATATATTTAATATTTTAAATTTTATATATCTTCAAGTATCTGAAAGTTTGCATTATCACAGTCTTTCTTTTTTTTCTTTTTTTATAAAAATACTTTTCCTTTTTTTCAGATTCCGTTTCTCAGAATTCGTTTAATTAATCTGCCATAAAATATACTGCAATAAGTAATAAAAAATAAAGCATTAAACAGTAGCTTAAGGAAACAGAATAAGTAATTTATTTCAAATCAATACTCATTTCATCTTCATCTCCGACACCCACAGTTCCAGAAACTAAAGAGAAAATTTTTTTCAGGTTTTCTTTGCTTACTTTATGTACAGGAATACTTATATAAGGAACATTATGGATTGAATGAATTAGGACATCATTACACTTTTCCAATCTGGATGCACAATTTTGACAATGTATATTGTTTCTACACAATGGCATATTCACGCAGCAGCATGAATTTGACATACAAAATTCTTCTGAATAGTCATTTCTGTAATATTTTGAAGGATGAGGATGATCACATTTTGAAGGATGAGGATGATCACAATGAAAGTTAATGCCTGAACAAAGACAAGTGGAACATAAGTGATAACTAGAAGGAGATCCTTCTGAGTGGTTCTGTTTTATATTTTTTAAGCATTCACTGTTTTTAAATTTTTCCAAGTGTGAAACCACAGAATCAACTTGTGACAAAATATCTTCATAATTATTTTTGATCATGCTTCTGTTTTCATCGTTAGATATTTTACTACAGGCACCTACAGTAACAGAATTCACATTTTCCAGACCACAAGCAGCATTGTCTTGGAAAAGCTTACCTTGCTGACAATACACATTGTACAAAGTATTATTTTCTACAGCAGCACTTTGACTTGTACCTGAAACAGATGATGATGATGATGATGATTCCTGCTCATTTAAAATGACAGAACTAGCATCTACTGAATGGCCAGGATTTGTTTTATTTAAATCTAAAGTTTTTTCCCATATTGCAAAATATCCATTTGCAGTCTGATCAGGTCTTGATTTAATTAATTCACTGACTTTACTGATGAACGGTACTTCCTTAACTCTAACTTTTACCGGACCATACAGAAAATTGCCACAGCTACCTGTAGAAACAAAAATATCAGCTTTTTTCTGATTTCCAACAAAAAACAGTAGGGCACCAGGCTTGAGAAGGTGAAGGATATTCTGTGGAAAGCAAAAGATAAACATATTAGATAAAAAGAACATATCATGGATCACAGTATTTTTGCAAACAACTTTATGAATACATAAAATACACATTAAAAGATTTATGATTACTTCTAATCAAATTTATCTTAACAAATATATGCTACAATTATTTAATGCAAATGTCCAACCAGCGGCTGAGCGGTAAAACTGGTGACTCACTGGTAGTTCTGACTTGGGTTCGAGTCGAGGTAAACGGACTTTTTGCATGGGAATTTCCGTGGTTTCTCCCTATGCGTAATGAGTATATAAGCCAGTTTTCCTTAGAAACTCCTCAACAAAGACATACCTTTCCTTAGGCAGATAGCTTTCAAGTGCTTTGCCATAATCAAATAATCCAAACCTCATACAAGTAGATTGGATCAGGTATTCCTATGAGTACATTAGGTTTAAGAGACTCACAAATCATGTGTAACTAAATTACTAAATTCTTACAACAGCTCTCTTAAAAATTTTTACTCATATTTTTCTCTTATAAAAATATATCTGCCTGATATGATTCATAATGCATACTAGATAACTTTTATGAAAACTTATACCATTAGCTTTTAAAGGAATATGTTTCTAATGTTGTATATATTATGTACATGACTAAAGACATTTTAATTTTTTGCTTAATTTTATTATTATATTAACAGAATACATATATGCATATATGTATAATGTACAATCTGCATTTTTAAATTTATGGATGATTTAAAAATATATGCAACAGGAAGCCCATTAATTTGGGCTAAATGGTGATTGCAGTTGATGCTAGTCTGGATTTGTTATACATTGAAAATTAACTTAATGTTAACAGATGATTTTGTTTCTATTAAAGCAAACAAAATATTACAGACTAAATTCAGGTTTGAAGATATTTCAAAGTGCATATGTATGTACATCCTTGAATACACTGGGACAGATATTGTTGAATATGCACATAATGGCTTTGAAAATTAATGTAGAATGACAGCTCTTTCGTATTGTTACGTTTTTCTTTCTTCTGACGACAGTTGTTACGTTATTTTCTTCCTTCACGTTCGCACGGGGTTCCTGCGGATTTGGACTGAATAGCGACGACACTTGATGAAGTATCGAAACTTGGAGTGAATAGCGACGACACTTGATGAAATATCGAAACACACTTTATTAACCAGTACTGTCAGGACAGCTCCAAAACACTTTTACAGTCATCGATGAACTACTATAAACACGCTGACACGATCAGCGATGCAGCCTTCAGGTTATCAGGCTATCAAGGTGGAGAGAGCTTCCTGCAAAGCACCTAACTCTGCTTTCCAGAGTACAGCTCCCGACTCTGCTTCGTTGTTCTCGGAACTCCACATACTCTCGAGACTCTCCACACTACAACTCGCAATGCACTCGATAACACACGAGCACAGCTCCCGACTCTTCGGTTCAGTCATTCCCAGAGCTCAACACACTCTCTCGATGATGCACTAAGCGCAATACACTAACAGACTCGTTCAGTGCACTCGACGACCCACTCAGCACTCGCTGCCCAGCTGTCAACTCGATCGACTCCGCAGGGATTGACTCGATAGACGAGACACCAACTCGATACTGACTCTCTCGCACTCTAGACAAGGCACTCTGACTCGCCCTCTTGACAAGGCACACTCACTGACTGCGGACTAGCAGGGTTTATATAGCTTTCGGCTTGTGTTCGAGAACATTCTGGACTAAACCGGTAAGAATTCGTTCCAGAAGGTTCTCCAACCGTCCATGGCATATCGCTAATTTTGTCGCCAATTGGGCTATTTCTGGCCAAATGTGAAAACCCTGCCTTTCCTTGCCATTTTTTGGCAACCCTAAAACTGCTTTGCGGGGAAGCCATCTTACCGCGCCTGTACATTTCGTAACAGTATGTAACCTTCCTCAATTTTGGAACCACAGTTCACTGCAGCTACTTCTTTCAGAACTATCTTGCCCATACTTAATTATTTTCAAATCTTTGAAAACAGGGAACACATAGCATTGCAAAAATTTCTGTAGTTATTTTGTGAAGATAATATCAAAATTTAATGACATTAACAAACAATGGCATTTCTTAATGTTTCTTACGAGTAAGAAGTATGCAAACTACATGATATATGAATAGCTCAGCATGTCCCTGAATACAGTTTCGCTCATCTCAAGCAATTTTTTGCTGCTAAAATTTATAGAACTGTTTGCACTTTTTCACATAAAGTAATACCATTAATCACTGAATAGTACAAGCATTACATAACAGATTATAATCTACCTTTACTTTAAACTTAAGATCAACATAAAATTTCTTTTATTATACACTCCGATGCAAAATTTATTAATCTTGCAATATTTAACTAAATTCATGCTCAGGGTCCAGAATAATCTATATATATATAAAGAAGGAAGCCTGTTTGTTCACTAATAACTCAGTCACTACTATAGCTGTCATCTCCAAACTTTCTACAATTCTTTTCTGTGTCCTGGAAAATGTCCACTTTTTTCAAAAAGTCGTCAATGTCCACTTAAAAAAAAAAAAAAAAAAAAAAAAAAAAAAAAAAAAACCTAAAATCAGAGATATTAATTTAAAATGCTAATTTTCGCCCTCATTTTTCCAAGTGGCAAAAGGTGGCAACCGTCTCGCACACTGGAGATAAAAATCTGCTTTATTTTGAGAATTGCTGCCACTGCTGACTTTCAAATCTTAGAGTTTGTTAATGAAAAATTTCTAAGTTTTAAGACAAAATAAAAATAGCATTGCCAACCATTAAATACATTAGTCCTGATTCCAAAAATTCATGGGAAGCCATTTCAACTATTCTCATCTTTGTACGACTTTAATTAGCTGATATTAATTAAAAACTTTTAAAACACTAACTTTCACACTCATTTTTCCTAGCGGCAACAGTCTTGTACATTAGAGATAAAAATTTATGCTTCGAAAGTGTTGCTACCGCTCGCTTTCAAATCGTAGAGTTTGTTATTAAAAAAATTGTAGGTTTTACAAAATCTCTCTATATAAAGAAGAATGCCTGTTTGTGTGTGTGTGTTTGTTTGCGTTATTGATTTTCGATCAATTATGATCAATTTTTTGCCACATTTAATCGACTAAAATTGAATATAGATGAAGTATTGGATGGAACTTGAGCTTTTATGACCAACTGATTAGAAAGACGAAGATCATTAAAAACTGCATGCCATTCTTACTGATATAAAGAGAGAGAATTAGTTAATTTTTTTGTGAAAATTTTTTATGCGGATTCCGTATTGCATCAGACTGAAAAATGTATGACTATGAATTAAATATTTTGCATTGTTATTGGAGGAGGATTACAGTAGTATCATTCTCTCAATTGTTAGATACATTACTCTCAGTTCTCTCAGTTGTTAGATACATTACTCTCAGTTCTCTCACTTGTTAGATACATTACTTTCAATCTAACTTAACTGGCATTGGGTACTTCCACTAGTAAGGAATACTTTTTAAAAGGAAAGGTATTTTCTGATAAGCTACACCAGCACTGAAAAGTCGTGAACTTGTTACAGAGAACTCATTAAAGAGTAATCAAAATTGTTAATTAAATTAATGAGTTACATTAAAGAGTATTATCAATTTCACTAATGACTAATTTTTGCCAAGCTAATGTGCCAAAGACAACAGCCATTTTCAAAAGAAGAATACATTAAAAATTAAATGCTAGAGCAGTACCAATAACAACTGAAAAAGTAAGAAACATTTGATAATAAAATACATAACTTTTAGATAAGATATCCCTCTTTTTTGTGCCGTTGTTCTTTCCATTACATATCGATCTATTTTAACATAAAGAAACATCACAGAATTCCACAAACTCACCATTGTACAATATCACATCACAGACATACAGACACATATACCTCAGTTGTCACATAAATACATTTCGGTGACAATGTGGGTTGCACATTATTATTTTGTTGGCATATTGTCTTGCCTTGTGAATACTTTTCTCGACTTGTCCCAGGGAGTGAAGATAATCAGAAAGTACCAAAAAAAAATCATCCCGAAGAAATATAGTAGCAAACACCTGAGACTTTACGACTTAACTCAAAGTTTCTGAATTGATTAAAAAGATAAATTTTAGGATTAGGCAGTTTTGATCTAAAATATACAGGTAAGTCTAGAGCATTATCATTTGGATATATGCATTTTTATTTGCACATTAAATGTATGTACAATGCAAAAAAAAAAAAAGGGGGGGGGGGGAACAGAACTATATCTTTCATTCTACTGGGCCAATTGATGAAATTCAACTTGCGTTTTTCATGTCTTGAAAGTGCGACGTAGGATATGTATTAGATTTATATATATCATTGTTCTAAAATAGTTATTTTGACACAAAATTAGACTTTTTCTGAAATGATATGCCAATTTTTTTCCATATTTCAATTCTGCCACTCAAATTATGGCAAACTGCCATGTTTTGTAAAAATAGCATAATAGTAAAATAGTAATAAATAATAATAGCATAATAGTAATAAAAATAGTAATTTTTGAAAAATTAGCTCTCAAAGTTTTAGCTTCTCCATGTTAATTGAATTTGATATATATTTATTAATAAGTCTTTTTTTATTAAATTCATTTGATCCTTCCTTTCATATTTCAAAATTTTGACTCATTCTAATTAAAATTCGCCTATTTTTTATGATTTACTTTTAAAACTTGTTTGCCATCCTCTTAAAGTAGATGTATTTCTAAGCATACCTGCAGAAAATTAAGAGTTTTTTATTCAAGATTTCCTAAGATATATGTAAATTTACATTTTGGCACATTTTGAAATTTGGCATATTTATTATAAGCAATAATAACGAAAATGTGGTTTACGTACTTTGTTACAGTTATTTGAAAGTAGTTGCTCATGGACAATGAAAAATAGGGGAAAGGAAAATACATAATAAAGAAGCTAAAAATTAAGAAGTTTGCCAAGTGAATTATTTTAGCTCAA